GACATTGAATAGGCATAGAATTGAATTGTGAATAGATTTGTTATTAATATTAGTACGGAGTTTTGGGTGAGAAGACGATTAAAACCTGTATGAAGTGAAAACAGGAGTAAGATGAGGTGCTGTCAGTCCACCATCATCGATGATATTCCTCATTGTGGTGAACTGGATCATGCGAAGGACTATGAGTGGGGGGGGGGGAGAGGTGAGAAGACGAGCGAACAAACACAGGAGAATTACAAAACTCAATTATATAGAAAATCAATTCACACAGACCAAATACTGAATTACAACAGAAACAATCGAATAACACACAAAAGGAATTGTATACAAACAATATTCAAGAGAGCTAACCAGGACTCATTGCAGCACTCTCACCATAAGAAAAATTGAAAAAAGATACCTCATGGACGTCATCCAAAAGAATGCATATCCACGGTATTTCACCAAAACACATACACCTCCAAGTCAACCTATCAAATCAAAGGCCCTCAAGGAAAGCACAAAAAAATCGCCCTACCATATATAAAGGACATCTCAGAGGTCATTGCAAGAATCTTCAAACCATTAGGAATTGACGTCCCTTCACTCAGCCCTATGTCAACCAAAAGACTCAACAATGAGAGAAGATAAAACCAACATCATCCGCAAAATAAATTGTATCAACTGCGAAAAACACTACATTGGCCAAAGTGGACTAAGTCTCCTCTTCGTCTTCGTATCCATGAACATAAACTAGGCGTCAAAAGACATGACATCCACTCCCTCGCTCATATCACTCACTGCATACAGACAGACAACCACGGACATCAATTCGACTGGGACAACCAGTGTTCAAATATTAGACAGAGGAAACACCAAGAATGCTAGAGAATTTTTAGAAGCCTGCCTGGTATTCCAGTGAATCGTCAATCAATAGACACATCGACATAGACAAAATTTACCAACCGATAAGAAAGAAATCTCACACACAAAGAGTCAAAGTTCAAGTCAAAGAAACAATCAGTTCCAATACAAGTAGTCCAGAGGTTGTGAAAACACACAAAAACAATCAGAGTCACGTTCAAGGTCACCCATCAGGAGAGATGACTAATAAACTCGTGGAGAAATCTAAAAGCTCACTTCAATTCAAATTGAAGTATGCACTGAAGATGTTTCCTAGTAGGAGGCAATGAAAGCTTCGCAAATAAACCATCCAGCTATCCAGCTCAGACAACACAACTACATCGAAATCATCCACCTGAGCTATAAATCTTCCCCATCATATCTAGACTCTAGAAAATATGGATGATTTCAAGGTGGACGAATTATGTCTAATGTCACACAAACTTGAAAACCTACATGTTGGCTGGAGAGGCAGGGAGAAGCGAAGCTGGGACTCCAAGTGAACATAGCAAAATAGATGTGGTGAAGAGAATGGATAACCAATCACCATCAATGGAATAAATCTAAATGAAGTCACTTCCCTAAGTTCTCCAGCCGGCATCAGCACAACTACTAAATGAGGCACGGATACAGGAGTCAAAGACAGAATCGGAGGGGAAACACAGACCTTCATCAGTGTGGAAATCTGCTGTAGTGAGAGTAACCAACGAGATTTGGATTTTCAACACTAGTGTTACGTCAATCACTGCTTCTATAGGGTTCATAAACCTGTGACGAAACTGAAGGTGGGCTGTGAACTTTTATCAACAACTGTCTTCACTGCATTAACGGAGAGTAGATGGGCGACCAGAAGGGAAAAGCGACAAGAAACTTTAGGAGCGAATAACCAAGGACCTATCACCCAGCAAATATGCCGAAAATAATTGATGATGGATTGGACGCATGCCACCGAGGAGACCGTTGAGTGAATGACACCACATACCATGCTGTAGTATGAAACTCGAATAGGAAACGACGGGTTGGGTGTCCTAGGGTGTGAGGAGGAGATGAAAACTTTCGGCCAATCATGGAGTCAGCTAAGGAGTAATGTAGAGGACAGGTTGAAGTGGAAATATGCTGTTGACGCCTTACATTCTACTAAGAACCAAACACGTTTGCCTGCATCAGTAAGAAAGTAAAAGACTAACAATGTTTGAAGAACTCCTATGGTAACGACAGAAGACAAGGATCAGGCAATGGCTTGCTTATTGAGAAAATCAAGAGATACTTATAGACTTTTATCTACATTATTGTCAGTGGAGAAGCAACGTCTTCTGATTGGTTGTTTTCTCACTGAAGGTTATTCTGTACTGCTTGTGACCGTCTCTCAGAAAGTTAAGCCATTTATCCGCGAATCGTATTCGCACATGTTAATTCTGCTGTGATTGCTTGCTGAGTTCGTCAAGGTTAAGCTTTGTTATTGTCTTTCTTTCATGACCCCGATTCTGGACGTAACATTGACGTAAATTGTTGTCTACAATTTTGGCTTGCAGCCAGCTCTTACCACACTATGAAGGCTAATTTATCCCAAAACACTCTCAAGTATCTTATGTAACTCCTACATGAGACATTCTGTTCAAAACACTTCCTTAATTTTTAGACAGGATTAACAGACCCTGTATTCCCCATCAACACATAGATGGATACCTAGATATACCTCACAAACAGCAGTAATGAGAGATAGTTTATAGCGATTTGATTTCCTTTTCAAGTTTGCCCACGGATTGATATCAGTTAGGGAACTTTTGAAAACCACCCTGAGAGAGTACTGGACAGCTAACTCATCTTAATTTCAAACTCATCAGCAATACCCACCCACCCACAATCAGGATTAGAATCAAGGATCTTCAGGTTACAAGTCAAGCTAGCTCGTAGATAGCCATTCATCCACTGGGACTCGACTCTTCAATGGCCAGTCTATCACAATTCTGACTCCTATCAATTCGTGATTTTAGTGCGACTGGCACCAACCAGTGTCATCGGAGGCAAGTATTCGAGCTCACTCCCGCCGACTCTACTGGTCACGACTTCTGACTAGAACTCCAGGCAATTTCGTCCTGTAGCCACCATACTTTTGGTGTGGGAGTGAACGTTTCAATCTCTATGTTTCCCACCTATCCGTGGATATGAATATATCTGCTACAACCAGGGATATTGGTGATCCCATGGCAACTCCCTCCATGTAGATGACACATTCACTGTACTTAGAACACAGGATGTAGATAGATTTCTCGAACACATTAACTCAAAGGTGGAGACAATCCACCAATTCACATATGATGGATTGGGAAGTCAGGAAAGGGAGCTTCCAATGTTAGATTGCAACGTAAAAAGGAAAGAAGATGGGAAGTGAAACACTAGTGTTTTCAGGAAACCCACACATTCAAACAGATATCTGGACTTCCGATCATCCCACCGTATGTCAGTGAAAATAGGATTGGTGAAATGTTTAAGTGACAGAGCACAAAAACTAATTAGTATCAAGGAAAACCTAAGACAGGAAGTGATACATATAAGAGAAGCTTTGAAACTTAATAATTATCCTGATAAATTAGACAGGAAATATGTAGGGACATGTAAAAATAAAATAAATATTGACAGTAGGGATATTGATAATAATCATTATATTAATGACGACATGCCTGTCAAATATGCGCAAGACAACACCAACAATAAGGAATCTAAATCATCAGTAGTAATTCCAAACAAGGAAGGAACCTCGGAAAACACCTTACGCAGAATTCTTAACAAGGCAGAAATAAAAGTGGCATTGAAACTCACAAACTCAATCAGAAAAAAGCCTTGTCGGTTAAAGGATCAATCCTTTGGAGCCAATAAGACAAAACAATTTAGTTTATCTAATACCCGGCCTGCAATGATTGTCAGGTCAAATACATAGGTCAAACTAGTAGAACAGAGGCAGTTACACTAGCAGAACATAAAAACCTAGTAAAATGTAGATCAGTTGACCCGAATTAGATAAGAAATCTAGAGAATAGTTCAGATATAGCACTCACTATATGCAATAACACATAACCACACAATAGGATGGGTGGAATAAGATGACAGTTTTAAAATCTAATGTGACAGTTTGGAGGGTAAGACTGATAACGCAAGCTTTGTTTATCGAATCAACTACGAACATGTGTAGTAGGAATGATTCAACACCTGTCCACCCAGATATCTGGAAAATTCTACTACCCATACGATAAATAGGAGAGAACAAAGAAAACTACAAAACTCAAGTTTCGAAGTCGTGTGATTATAATTGATGATATGATTGTGAATAATAAATAAATTTTGTTCGAAACTTTGTCATCCAGTAAATGATACTTTTTCACTAACTGTGTAATACATCTAATAAACAAACTAATATGAAATTACTTACTACTACCACAGTGCTGCCCAAGTTTTACAAATATATTAATATGTAGGCATTCTATTTGTTGCAAGTTTGACCACAGTCTGGGACTTAAATCCTCAGCTAAAATAGATACTTTGATGTATCATTTTATAAAATGCAGATGTGTAACAATTATACGGATCAGAAACTTGGCGGGTCACAAAGAATATTTCCAACAACCTGTTGCAGACCTTTATCAACAACTGTCTTCGTCGCTCTATACTCAAGATCAGATGGCCGGAAAGAACAAGAACCAACAAGAAACTATGAGAACAAACAAAACAAGAACAAAACAAGTGCCCAACAAATATGCAGGAGAATGTGGAGATGGATTGGACACTCGCTGAGGAGGCCGCTGGGTGACATCGCGCGTCAGGACAACGCTCGAGTGGAACCCGAAAGGGAAGCGGTGAGTGGGACGTGCAAGGGTGACACGAGGAGGTCATGTGAAGAAGAGTTGAAACAGTATGGATTAACATGGATGCAGGTGAAAAGTACAGCAGAAGAGAGAAACAAGTGGAGATGTGCAGTTGAAGCCCTATGTTCCACTAGGAACCCAAGGGAACAATAATAATAACATCAATTTAACACTGACTTTTGATGAACTTATCAACTTTTTACAGAAGAATACCATTAAAAAAAAATCTAGAGAACAGCAGACATGCTGTAGTCTTACCAATTCAGCCATTCGTCCACCTGTAACAACAAGCCATTGAAGTTCAATTGAAAATGCACAAGTCGGATGATAATTTGCATCGTATACACAATGCGCCCATTCCACTCGACCATCATCGTCTGGTTCATCCATATCACACAGGCAACTTTTACGTAGAATTTGATCAATTTCTGGAAATTAGGGAAAATAAATAAATAAATAAATTTGCATTTATGTTTACAGAAGACTACACACTAGTCTTGTGTACACGTCAAACCCGATTCAAGGTGATTAGCAAGTCGAGAGAGAGAGAGGTTTTCGTCAGAAGGCGTGAAGAAAAATTAGAGATGAAATTGCAGAGGCTTTGTTTCGCTGGATGCAGTATATGATATTCGAAAAAAGATTTCCTCCTAAATGTCCACCTTTTCTTGCCTCCATTTCCTGAGTCACTTTACTGTACCAGAGAGAGAGATGTTTGTCATTGAAATATATGATTAATTTGCCATGGTTTGGTTTGTAAGGGTTAGTTTTATTTTTACGAGTTGATCACGGATTGATATCAGTTAGAGAACCATTGAAAACCGGTTACAAGGAGTACTGACAGACAGCTGTTTCATCAGCCTAGTTTGGGAATCATCGGCAGTACACACCCATCACCACCGGGGTTCGAACCCAGGACCTCCCGGTTACAAGGTAAGCTGGCTCGTATACCATTCAGTCACTGGGACCCGATTCAATGGCCAGCCAGTGCATGAATTCTAACTTCTACCAATTCGAGATTTAGCGCGACTAGCACTAACCATTGTCGTAGGTGGGACATCCATCCTCACACGTAACATCTGGATGAACCTCACTGGTCATCACTTCTCACTATTTAATTGGTTTCGACATAGGACTTTGCACAGAATTACGCGACTTTGAGTTACCATGCACCATGTAGTACACTAAGGAATATAGAAGAGAAGAAACAAAGGGATTTGGAAGAAAAATGATGAGTATAAATGTAAGAGAGAAGAAAAATAGTAACAAGTATAAAAAAGTATGGGGTTTTAATAGATATTGGAGATCACAGAGAGTGAATGCATTTCCGTCCCTAACAACGACTTTGAGCCACATCACCGATTGTCTCCAGTTATTGGTTCTTAGGAGTCAAGCTGTCTACACCTCCCCCTACGTGGCTAACTCAAACTCATTGTAGAAGATTTTATGAACGAATGTCAAGTTTTGGTTTGACCACTACTACTGTGGTGAGAGCTGTCTGCTAGCCAAAATTGGTAGACAGCAATTCACGTCAACGTTTATGTCCCAAATCTCGGTCATGATAAAAAAAACAAGAACAAAGACTAACTCAACAACCAATCACAGCAGACTTTGCGTGGGCGGATACGATTCGCAGATATATATGGTCTGACCTTCAAAGAAATGGCCACAAAGAGATGACAGAATAACTTTCAGCGAGAAAACAACCAATCAGAAGACGCTGTTTCTCTGCTAATAATAACGAATAATAATGTACATAAAAATCTATAAATATCTCTTGATTTCCTCAATAAAGGATCTGTTGTCTGGCTCTTGTCTTCTATCCCTATACTACCTCTTTCCCAACTTGATCCTGTGTTAGTTAACATTGACAGTCGAGGAAGGAATGCAATGGCTAGGAATGAGAGTAACAACACACATGTCCTAGCCATCTCAATCAATTCACCGTCACAACCTGATCGATTTATTTTCCCTCCTTACCTAACACTCGACGCCTAACCTGAATATTACTCACCCCCTTTATGCCACATAATGTGGGGGGGGATAGAACGGATACACCTATGATCAATGACAGGTAGACTTTTTATGTCTTTTGAACGACAATATGAAAAAAAAATAGGGGACAACACTGTTGAAAGGCCGACAGAATGATGAGACGTGTAGGCATATTTATGAAGTAGATTCAACGGAATGTTCACTATTTTATATCAATTTCGATAAATCCTGAGTTATAAATGATAACGTTTGGATCCACTCAGCTAAATGAGCTCTCAGAAACCACTCGTAAAGATATGATGCACCAACAAATGCCATACAACTATCCCATATCCGATATATTGTCATTATTATTCCCTTAGGATTCAAGTGCAACACAGAGCATCAATATCATTATTATTGTCCCCTTGGGTTCCTAATGGAACATAGGGCTTCAGCTGCACGCCTCCACTTGCTTCTGTCTTCTGCTGTACTTTTCACCTGCATCCATGTTAGTTCATACTGTTCCAACTCCTCTTCACACAATCTCCTCCATGTCACCCTTGCACGTCTCACTCGCCGCTTCCCTTTCGGGTTCCACTCGAGCGTTGTCCTGACGCGCGATGTCACCCAGCGGCCTCCTCAGCGAGTGTCCAATCCATCTCCACATTCTCCTGCATATTTGTTGGGCACTTGTTTTGTTCTTGTTTTGTTTGTTCTCATAGTTTCTTGTTGGTTCTTGTTCTTTCCGGCCATCTGATCTTGAGTATAGAGCGACGAAGACAGTTGTTGATAAAGGTCTGCAACCTGTTGGAAACCTCACCTAGATTACTAGCTCACTAGTTTTCTAGACGGTCCCAAGCCCGGATAAAGAGGGAGGGTTGGGGCGTGGTGCTAGCAACTCCACCCCCAAAGCTTAACCAAACTGCTACAAAAACTTCAACGCACAAATATATTAAAAATTCTAAAAACACAAACAGAGCATCAATAGCAGACCTCTATTTCGTCCAGTCCTCTGCAGTCCTGTTTATTTGACTCCAAGATTGCTCATAGACTCTCATTCCCGCCTCACACGATCTCCTCCATATCACCCTAGCAACCACACCCAACTCATAATTTCTCATTCGAGTCCCACTCGGGCACTTGTCTGGCATGCGTTGTCATTCGACGGTCTCCTCAGCCTGTGTCAGATCCTTCTCCATTTTCTTCGGAATATCTGTTGAGTACAATGGGTTATTGATTGATTCGCTGCCTGCCAGAGTTTCTTACTGCTAATTCTTTCTCGCCATCTGGTCATCCGATCTATGGTATGGAGCTAGAGAAGGCAGATGTTGATGAAAGCCTGAAACCTGTCAGAAATACTTTTCGTTACATGCACGCCAAGTTTCTGCACCACATATAGAAGCATTGACCAACTTGACACAAGTATTGAAAATACGATTCTTGTCGCTTATGCTGAGTACAGCGAATTTCTAAACTGACTTCAGATTAACGAAGGTCCATCTTGCTCTTCCAATCCTGACTGGCACTGACATTCTCATCATCCATGCCGACACTTCTAGTTGGAATGATGCTGCGCCTAGCCAGATAAATGAGAGAACAGAAAGTGACTTCCTTTAAACACCACCTCCCGTTGATGGTGATTTCTGCCTGAGTCTACTGTCGTCTTACCTAGAAGCCTCGCTGAACCACCACCTTTCAGACTGTTCACATGATGGTTTCATCAAATGCTGCTAGCAAAAGATACTTAAACACAAACTTGAAGTTTCTACCGGTCGCCTAACTTTAACAAAAACAACTATATTTCACACAAGCGTGCAACAGGGAAAGCAAAGCTAAAAACAAATTGACTATAATTAAAATACCCATAGTATACTGCTAATTGATTAAAAGTGGACTGCATTACACCAAAATTAAAATCTCCAGTTGTTTATATTTCATCAAAATAAAATATCAGGGGCTGTTCTTGATATGTGTCCTTAACTAGTTAGTTGATAAAGGTTAATATATATATATATATATATATATAAACAGTATGAAAAGTAAGCGAAGAAGAGGAAAAGTTGTAATACCCCAGAAGAAAAGTTATCCTAGTCGAATCAAAGTAAAATAAACAAATCGAAATGAACACAAATTAAACGGATCAATATGTGATTTAGTTCAAATGTAAGATGATACGACAGGACTGAACTGGACTGGACTACATTGACTCCTAGCTTAGAAATAGGCAGGAGTGAAGTGGTTGGTGGAGCGTGTTGACCATCACTTCAGTTATTTGGGAAGTTGCATCAGCCCCAACGCCAACGAGTTGATCGCTGACGAGATCTCTCCACGGATACAGAAGGATTGTTTAGCATATGCCAGTTTACGTTGTCTCTGGAGTAAACGTGATGTCCGGCTGGCTATCGACCAAAGGACGTGTGTACTGCTAAGCAGTCCGCTCCGTCCTCCTTTATGGCTTTGAGTGAGACTTGATGATTGAAAGTGGAAGATGTAAAAACGCTGGCTAGCTGTCTTTGATCATAGGTGCCTGCGTTCTATCTCCCGTGTTAAGTGATATAATAGGGTGAGCAATATTGAGGTTAGGCTTCGGTTGAGTTCTAGGTAAGGAGGGGAAATCAATAGACGAGACTGTGAAGTTAGATTCACTGAGATGGTTAGGACATGTGTTACGTATGCTAGCCTAGCCATCGCCTTCCCCGATGGGCAATGTTAGTTGACATAGGGTCAGGCTGCAAAACACCTAGCGGCGGTCAAACGAAAACACGGCATCAGTCAATGAAATCCTCAATAGCTAGTTTAAGCCAGTACCGTCGGAAGGTGTAGATATCCTGACTGGTTGGGGTCCTCGAGACGGTAAAAGCAATGTAGGATGGAGACAATTGGACATATGGCTGACTCAAAATTGTTCTCAATGGCAGGCGCAGATGCATCCACTCCTTGTGACTTATAATTTCCAATAAAACTATATTGTTCTTCGATATTACTATTCATTTTGCCTTATATCTCTGTTTACTGTCTCTATTATGCACTTCGTTTTAGTTTCTTCTCTTGCTTTGTGTGCTACATCGAGTGTGGCGACTTGAACTGTTGCACATCGGTGTCTGTTTACGTATGTTGAACATGAAGGTTATATCGCCATTGAGATTCTGAAAAACCGCCTTTCGTGGAACAAAAAAATTTTTTGACTGAGCTACAGCTTACCTTTTTTTCAGTCAACGAACGATCAGTAAATGTGTGGCTGACAAACTTCCGTTTTGGTCGCATCCAATCAAGTGCATATTTTTCAAATACATTACAGAAAACTATTCGAAATGACTATCATGAGGACAATTATTATAATATTATTATTGTTTCCTTTAATTCCTAGAGGAACATAGGGCTTCAGCCGTGCGTTTCCATTGCGTTCGCTTCTCTGCTAGAGTCTTCACCTGGCTCCAAGTCTCCCCACACGTTT